TTTATTTATTTATTTATTTATTTATTTATTTATTGATGTTTTGAGAAGGGGGGGGGGTCAAAATAGGGTTAGAATCATAGAGGATGATGCTTTTCATTGATTAGAAGTAAACATTCAGGAAGTGAAACCTACACCTGGCTCACATGCCTGTCAATTTGTAACTTGTTGTATTTTGGTCAACAATTCAAAACTAGTTTGAATAAGGAAGTCACATTTTTTGTTGCAGATTTGATTGTGGACAAGGTGGGGGATGGAACTGAATATACTGTTCAGTGAATTGAATTTAAAGACACATTTATCTCTGTCATTTTTCTTTTATATTTTGATGAGCTGAAAACTTTTTTGTGGAATGTGCTGTGTGTTGTAAAGCTCGGTATTGAACAGTGTCAGTGGATGATGATAAAAATTCTTGTTGATTTTCACAATCCAGTTGTCATAGTGAAAAAGGTATTCAAATGCAGAAATGCTGTCACTGAGGCATGATAACACTTTCTAAAGTAATGTGGGTTTAATGTTGCATTTTGCTGATTTGAAGAGGTGTGAATCAATGGCATCCCTGGGGACTTTTAGCTTGCGCTGTGTACAAGTTGTACATATGTTCATATTTCCTGTTGAGACAGGCAATGTATAGCCTTTGGCAACACTTAGATGATTACTGTCTAAAGCTGCATTCACACCAGGGCTAAGTTAGGTCCCATTCCTATAGACACCAATTTTGTCTATATAGATTGATCCAACTCTGCGGAGACTCTCGCTGAGTGCAATCAGCCTCCTGTTGTTTCCATTGTACTTGTCTAAACACCAGCTTTTCGATCTGTATTTTACTCAATCCCAGTAGGGGGTATGTCATTGGCTGTATTTCCAGAGCTTTTAGATCGATCTATCCCCATGGGGAGTCTCACTAGATTACTGTCAGATAATCCGGCTTAAATATCCGTCCCGCCTACTACAAGCTGTAAGGGGGTAATTAACTTTCGTGTCCGCTCGGCTGACAGCTATTTAGCGTCAGCCCCCAGGGAGTTAGGTTGATCTAAAGTTGATCGATCTAATCTCTGGAAATGGGGTCTAAGGGGATGCATATGGGGTCTTAGATAACTTAAGTCTAAAGCTGTATTCAGACCATGAATTATTATGCACCATTTTCTTTACCCAGGGTACGTAGTGTTATCTATTGTGGTGAAATAAGATCATTTGAATCAATTGAAACAGACTGTATACCAAGCAAGTGTCATCATAATTTTTCCCCACCTTGCATGTGCAGCATGTAGAATATGTTATAGCACAGTACTAGTATGTAAAATTATCACGCTGCTCATATCAGGTTGTAAAAGAGTTTATCTTAATAGTTTTAAAACCAGGTACCATTTTTATTTATGTGACTGTAAATGTAAGTCTTCCATCCTAATGGTCATAATTTTAAATTTCAAATGGATTAAATATATGAGCATGGTGCCAAAGTGAGGGTAATATAATATATCAGTAGGCTAGGAGAGCACACTCTCAGGATGGGAGGAAATCAATAAAATTATAACTGAGCCATTATTGTGTCTGCTTTGCTGAGAATCACTGGCTGTCTGAATTCTGTGAGGACAGGTTGCTGAGCACAGTTTGTATTGAAAGGTAACAATGACTACATTTTAATGCCGAGTTTTATTTACTTTAAATGTACATCTCTCTCTCTCTCTCTCTCTCTCTCTCTCTCTCTCTTTTCTCTCTCTCTCTCTCTCTGTATGTATGTGTAATTAGGTACCTAAATGGTATAAATCTGTTCTGCTGGCACAATGCTGAATTCTAGTGACCTCATGACCATATATAAGACTATGTTGTCATTTTGTTCACTTTCTGATTTTGTGTTTGTGTGGGCAACAGATATCTCCTGGTAGTGACCACCATGTCTTTGAAAAATACCGACCAGTGGCCATTACCTGGAGAATTTTGAACTGGAGACCAGCCACAGCAGGCCATACGCCATTACGTGTGGTAAATAAAAGCCGTCTGTGGCTCATACAGTGGGTTTTTCCTGTAGCCACTGTACTTCACTGTTTAAAGTGCGCACACAACGTATACATTTAATTCTCAATTGAGAGTTATATGTACATGTTATACGTGAACAATTTAAAGTTACATGTTATATTTACACTATGTACATACAACATTTAACTCTCAATCGTTCACAAATATAGCCTCTTTGGTACATGTAAGATAATACAATGTATATCACCAAAGATAAATAAAATAAAAAATGCGGTAAATTATGAATAAAGTATATGGGAGATAATGGTAATTTGGATTGGACATATATATATATGGCTTTACGTGATTTTAGGCGCAGACAGATACTGTTCAAACGTTCCGTGTGGTGTGAATTTTTTATGCCATTAACGTCATAGAAACGCAGCACTGTGCTTAGTTTAAGTTTCAGACATGACTCATGGTCTCTGCATATTGAACAGTGCAGTCACACTGAGTACTCAGCTGCCTTCATATGTTAGGTTTAGATATTAGGGACCATTCCCAGCCCTTATCGTACTAACTTTGGATCGATCTCTCTCCAAGGGGATTTTCGCTAAATTGCAATCACATTAAGCAGCTTAGATGTCTGTCATGCCTACTGAAGCTGCTAGGGGTTATTAATTATCGTTTAGCAGCTTCAGTGGGCATGCCTGACATCTAAGTCACTTAAGCTGAGAGCAATTGTGTGAGAAACCCCTGTTAGATCGATCCTGTTAGATTGATTCAGGCATGGGAACCCAGTTTTTGCAGACGGCCAGTAAAGCCAAGGCTGTGTGCAGACCTTAAGGAGTATCATATCAAAACAAAGCGTTCAAATGGTTTTGTTTGATGTTTGTTACGTCCATGATCAGCGGGAGTAGAATATCTCATATATAACCAAGTCAGATAATAAAATAAATAGCATCATGTATTTTTTTTTAATTTCTCTAATGCAAAATGTATATAAAAATAGCTGAGTGTTACAAAGTAGATCGATTCCTGTCTCTATATTGCATGACAGTTTTGAATTTGAGACGTTACCTATTTAATTTAGTGGATCTACGCTGTGAAACAAAATACTAAGGTAACATACGCATACTGGCTGAGAAGTTACGAGGTAGGCATTTGTGACATTTTTGAATTGATGGTACCCTAGCTAGCTGTCATACATACTATATGAACTGCGTGAATCACAGATGTATAGATGTGTATGAAAGTGCCACACTGAAGATCAATTACATGTCAGAGATGGACCTCTTCGGTGGACTGAAGCTGCTCTCAGACTGGACTATTTTAGACCATAATTATCAGACTGGCGCATTTCATCATACTGTTACATTAACCGACACATTTCTAATATGGTCATCCAGTGATGCATACAGACTGATTTCCTGTCTAAAGTATTTCGCAGTGGTTGCTCTTTCAATACACATTATTACCCCGTTCACACTATGCTCAGTTATCCGGATAAATTGCGAATTAGGTCACAGTTCGAATAAATGCAGTAGTGTGAACGCAAGAGGATTTTTGTAATGCGCATTTTCAAAATCCTGCAAGCGAGGTGGATTTCTAAGCGCGATCCGGATAACTTACCGGAATCGACACCTGTACAGATCTTACTGCGCATGTGTGCTGATAAGTGCGGATATCTATGAACGCTTGTTTATTACTTTAGCGATTGCACCAAACGTATTTGGAGGTCACCACTCACTACAACATGAGGAAACAAACTTATTTTGCCACCTTATACATGTACTTCTCAAGAATGCTGGAATGTCTTCTGAGTTGCATTTGTCGTCACAAATTTTTGTTGGTATTTTAAGATTTCCTGTGCGGCGCATGCGCGAGTGTTCAAAACAGGAAGTTAAACCTGAAATTTTCAACATGGGATTCGGATTCACTTAGCGAGTGTGAACGCAATACCGAATCGGATTCCTTACGAAAAATCCGAATTATAGAAATGCGCATTTTGGCAACTGTAGTGTGAATGGGGTATATATCTATGTAGCTCTAGCTAGGTACATGTATTCCCTAGGGCTTATGGCATTATATAGTTATAAATAGAGGCCCTGCCTCAAGTATACATTACGTAATGGCTAAATGGTAGATTCAGCTCCTTGTTTTATGAATAATACGGTTCTGTAATTTATTTTAATTGAATTATAGCTATTTTTAAAGTTATAACGTTTACTATTTAGTACACTGTTTATGTGTGTATAATAGTGTATTTTATGTCTTTCAAATACAGTTGTGGCCAATATGGTTTCTATGGCCTTGGGGGTGTATTATCGTGAATATATTTGTAGCTTTTGTCAGAATGATTGATAATCTGCCGGAGAGAGGGCACATTAGCAAATCCTCCAGTGGATGATCAAAGCACTGTAGTTTTGAGGTTTCGTTGAATAGAGACTTCAAGATTACTTAGAAAAGAAGGTTTTTTTTCAAATTGGAACATTTTTTTTTTCATCTAGAGCTATTTTTGTGGCATGAGAAAGGTGTGTGTCAGATTTGATGACGATATTGGTTTGTCAAGTAGATTTTTGTGTGTTAGACTGCTTGGAGTATTAGCTGGCATTATGGTGTTTTAAAGTATTGATTTCAGATACAAGAAAACTTAAAGATATGTTAAAAGACTGTAATGTAGACATTTCAGCGTGATAGTTCTAGTTGTTCTAGTCCTTATTTGTCAATTAACTGTTAGTAATGGTCTCATGATAATTGTTTCTTAGGTTGACTGTGTTCTGAGTATTTTTTGTATTTAAAGACAACAACAGTTTCTGTTCCTGTTTTGATGTTTTCAGGTTCCAGCTTAAAACATACTGGTGAATATATTTGTATTTTATCAGATTTGTACTGTACAACAATGAGCTCATCCAATCAACTGAAAATAGAGTAAACTGGAGAATCATGATCGTCGATGCCTGCACCAGGCCGGACACTTGATGATGATAATGATGATGACAGATTTATTAATTTTTATTCTCAAAGTGCTATTTTCATCTTTGCAGATTTTGAGACCTTCACCAGTTTCGCCAACCCAAACTACCGGCTGAACGACGACATAATCAACTCAAACAACACAGGCACCGAGGGTCACAGCAGCTCCGTGGGAGAGTTTGAATCCTTTGAAGACCCATATGAAAGCATCGACGTCACATCAGCCAGTAGTCGCCAGGCCGAGGCCAATAAAGGACGTAAAAAATATGCCCAGCTTGACCTCATGGCAATGGGCATGAACTTGAATGCCAACCCTGCTCATGGTCAATCCCCCATGTCTGATAGTGTCACCTCGCCATCATCGATGACAACTTCGACGGCCAGTATGGATTCTCCCGATGGCAAATCTGGTGCGGGACTATACGAAAGTGTGGATTTTGGATCAGAGGAGAAAAAACTTGTGAGTATCGGGCACACGGAGGAGGGTGAAGAAGAAGAGACTCCCTATGCCACCACTAGCACTTCCAGCAAAGGTTTTCTTGGGTACTACTCGAGTTTAGAAAATTCGGCGAAAAGCAGTCTTGAAGAAAAGAAAGAGACGGAGATTAAAGCAGAGAATTCGGGTGCTACCAAAGACAAAAAGTGAGTTAGATATTGAATGAAATTATGATATAATGTTAATATGTCATATTGTAATATTATATGAGTATAATTCTTTTAAAATTCTCATTAATTAATATTGATTCATTTCTTTCATCTGGCAGACTTTTTCTTGAGTGACCTAGAACAAGTTTGCGTCTGTTCTTAACTTTTTTATTTTTCAAAGTATAACTCTCAGATAATTCTTCACATCTCCTATTAATAACATGGGATATTTTATAAAGTATATACTTCAAAATACCCTCACTGGAAAAGAAAACTTTTAAAAGCTTTTACAGCAGAGTAATTTATAGTCAGATGTTGTAGTGGGATTGATAAGCATCTGTATTAGCCTGATCTTTCAACAGTCTCAGAGCATGGTGCAATCAGTCTTTTGTCTCTTGTGGCGGGCAGTCGGACAGATGCACTCACTCCATGTTAAGATCTCACCACGCAATTTAGTTTGTGGGCAGCAAGAGAGAAATAATTCTGCGACTACTGCATTAATTGTATGCAACAGTGTACTGCTTATTTTGATTATCTGTTCTATGCCTTAACAACTATTAGGCTTTGTTGCTGAAGGCTAGTGTATCGTGGTTGCTTTCATAAAGGTTTATCAAACGGAAAGACAACAGCTATCTGAAGTCACCTTTTACCGATTCTTCCACTTGAATAAAGATTCCATGGCTCATACACAACAATGGGCAACAGGTCAACTTTCAACAGGTTTTAACTATCTTGTCTCCGAGTATTCCAACCATATGCTTATAAAAATCACAAATCAATTCTCTGAAGCCTCCAGTGTTTTAATGGCTACTAAGCCTCTGCCAAGAGAGATGGAGATAAGAATTCCCAAGGCACCTAAGTTGATTACAGTTTGTCTGTTTCTTAAATTCAATTTATTTTTCTGCTGCTTTTATTGCTTTTATGTCTATGTTTGGAATGAATTGCCTTCTGGGAGAGAGTAATTTGAGTCTTGGAAGATAACCAACATTTCTTTGATGAAATTTTAACTGAATTGCCATCAAGGATAACATTCATCATTTGGTGCCTCTGTGTGTGCGTGGGCATGTGTGTGACTGTGCGCAGGCACGTGCAAGAGTGTCTCTGAATGTGTGTGTGTGTGTGTGTATTTGAAAGAAACACAGCAATAAATGTTTATATCATACAAAAACTGTGCAAACCCTACTTTAAGTATACACATAACTTATTTTCACACACAACAGCCCCAAATTACTATTAATGGACACAAAGTTGCATTATCTTATAATTATAATAATATAATTACTAAAATTAGTTTGATTGAGGTCTTGAAAGACAGTTTCAATTTTAGTTTAGATACAGGTTTAAAGAGTTTCAATTTTTTAATTTCAAGGAAGGACATCAACTCTCCAGACAGTGGCATATCAGCGGACCACCATGACACGGAGTCCGAGACGTCACCCGGGGATGTCAAACACAAAGTTGGTCCACTGACGGAAGACATCTATGCAATTCCAGAAAGAAGATCAAAGGTAGGAATAAACCCCATCAGCTCTCCAAAATTTTCTCTTGACTTTTAGAAAACTCTTAGATCTGAGATTTCTCATTGTGGCAAGTTGTTGTTTAGATGTTATTTGATGTGTTTTATTTAAATTTTGCCTGTAGGTGACCTTAGATTCTATAGGTAATTATGTTTGTTTGGATGTTGAAAATGTGTTAGTGGTGATGCAGTGACTGAGTGGCTGGGATTGTGTTTTGTGGCACATCCAACATTTGAATTGTGCTGACCAGTTTGAGTATAAGTGGAAGTTGTAAGGAAGCACTTGTTACTGCTTACATGTGGGTCTGTGATATTAGTGTTTTTAATACTGATCAGATATTTTACCTTTGCCAAGGGTATGATATTTGATTTTGTTTGGTAATTTAATTAGATTTTTATTTATTTTAATTTTATTTATTTGTTTGTTGTTGTTATTATTGTTATTCTTCTATTAATTTATTTTGATTTTGTGGCCATAAAGATATTTTGCCAAAAATTATTTTCAATTCTCCTGATACAGCTGAACAGCTAGAACATTTTAAAGTATATGCTGTGGTCTTAAATTTTCTTTATGCTCTAGTCTTAAATGTTCTTTATGCAGCAGATGTTCAAATGCTAGCAAAAGTGCCATCCATTTATTAGCTGCTGTTGTATCTATTACAGGAAAAAATCCTCAGACGCAATTAGCTTTGACATATATAAAACATTGCCTTGACACTTCTTGATACACTGGTCTCCTATACAAGTGTATCTATTTAAGTTCCCTGATTATCTGTCAAGGCCAGATCTATTTCAACTTTTTCCTTTTACAGCAATACTGTATGCAGGGCCTTATGCAGAGGGTTTTCAAGGGGTTGGAAAGATGCACAATTTGATTGGGGAAAGGGTCTGATCTGATTCAAATTTTGGTCTAGGTTTTATGCCATTATGGTACGAAGGTCCACTTTTACAGAATAAGAACCCCTTTGAAGTTGTTGGCTATGGCCATTGCAGGCCCGTAGCCAGCAAATTCAAAAGGGGGGTTCTTTTTCTAAAAAAAGTGGACCTTTTTTAATGAAACCTTTGTGTACCTAGACAAAATTTTACACAGAATGGACCTTTTCCTGACAAAAAGGGCGGTTCTTTCGAACCCCCCGAACCCCCCCTGGCTACGGGCCTGCATTGTATGGCCCAGCAGGCTTGCTCTGTCCACATGCTGGTCAGAGACATGGATGGTCAATCTCGGGTCTTTGTTGTTGTGGTGAGACATGCTTAAAGATTCTGAGATATTGCTTTGAAGATGGATAAGAGAATTCTTCTTTATAGCTGTTTCTGTGAAGGAAGCACTGCCAATGCCAATTTGTTGTTTTCGTTATTTAGTCGACAGGATGGTAGAAAAAATTATACTTCTTTGGATAAAAAGCTCAAAATTTTGCACATGGCAGATTTGGACTCTGGCTGCTACAAGTAAGAAAGCTGCAATTTTTTTTATTTTATCTTATTTGATGAAATCTCCAGTGCTTTTATATATTTCTGATAATGATTAAAGATTTATGCCAGGGGAACATATATACTATAATACTTGCTCTAAATGAACAGTGGATGGATTAAGATGGCTGCCTGGGTAATCCAGAAGGTTATTAAAAGTTTCCAGAGAGACAATTTTAAAATTGTTGGCCATGGAAGATTGTTCACCTAATGGAAGATCATCAGCCTTGTTTTCTAGACCCTTCTCTGGTGGCTGTGCTTAATTACCATTTCAATGAAAATTTCCAGATTTCATTGTTTGGTATATGTATTATTTAGTTGTAATTGTGGTTGGGGATTTCTTAGAACAGAGAGGAAGTGCAGAGATGTGGAAGAAGGTGTGTGTAAACACATAAGAACTGCATTGAACTTGCTTCAATTTGATTCTCCATTGCAGACAAAATAGTCTCTTTTCTGACAACAACGGATGGTTCTTAAATAGTGATCATAGACTTTATTGAAAAAATTGTATATTTATTGCATCCTGCAATTGGCATAAGTAGGACATTCTGAGAATGCAGAGGAAATTCTTGAGCACACAGTGAAAACAATATATCTGAATCAGTCATTATTTCTCATGATATTATTCTAACAGAGACGAGACACTGCATCCAATGGCATGCGGCGAGAATTATGTTTAAATCTTTAATCCTCTTCTAAACGGTTCGAGAAATAATCCTACATGTATTTACTGCTAATGGCATGGAATTTCTCAGAATTAGCATCCAGAGCAGGAGTGGTGAGCACTATGATGGTAAGAATAACAGGAAGGGATATAAAAAGGGAACATCTCTTCAGCTTCACATGGGTGAAATGAGAAGCAGTCTGTTTCACCATCCCTTTCAGCTGTGGAACAATCCATGTGTAAGTTGTTTTTGTCATTTTCTATTTTTACTTGTGGAGGTAAAAGGTACCTCTTTGATTCACATAGTTTAATAAGTCTTTCAGATGAAAATGATGGATATCCATGTCTAATTTATCTGTATTAATGTATTGTTATAAATGATGCTTAAAATGGCAGGCAGCAGGATTTTCATTCAGATAGTTCTGTGAACTTTCTTTATTAAAACTAGCTGTTGTAGGTATTGTTTGAAACATATGCATTTAAACAAGATCATATATATACTATAATTATTGGTCGAAGTTAACCAAGGATGGATGAATATGGCTGTCTGGGTTGTCTAGGAGATCCTGGTTTTCAAGCAAATCTATTTAAGTATCAAGTTAAGTGCTGTGCCCAGGTACTGGTGTAGATGGCAGTCATAATACCCTTGTCCTTTCTATCCTTGATGGACTAGATGGTTTCATCTCATTTTATTTTCCAACCAATCTAAACGTGCAAGTTTCTGGCTTCCTGGTGAACTTTTTCCTGCGACTTGTTATAGCCTGTTTTTCTTGCCTTGAGACCAGTGTATCAAGAAGTATCAAGTATATATGTCAAAGTTATTATCAGACTAAAACAAAAAATTTCCCAGAGAAATGAAATCTGTAAAGTATTTTGTTCCACTGTTGAAATGCCCTTGTTTGGCTCACCTACCACAATCAGAGATGCCACATCCAGGAACTGAAGATCACACCTACCACAACTATGGCCTTTCTTTAGAAACGCTTATTTACTCAGTTGTTTGATCAAACATTTATTTCAAATAGAGCTATCTATATAACCATTCAAATACACTAATTTTTTTAATTGAATATATTTTTATTATATATTGTGCAAATCAATTTATTATATGAATTTGAATTTTACCATTTCCATTGAGATCAGTTGTAAAACACAGCACAGTTGTACCAATAATGTTCTTATACAGAAGGTAATAGATGCATACATATATTGTATCATCCATTTTGGGTATAGAAAATCCACTTTCTTGATTCTGTTGGGAAAGCAACCTTACTGTGTTCTGTTTAGAACCATTATTTACATAAAATGGTTGAGAGTTGGTCAGAGTTTTGGCTCCATAAATCTGCCGTTCATCGAGGGTAATTGAATCAAAACATTATAACAGACATCTTGTGCCAGAAAATTATTGTCTTGATCGATGAAACTTTGTACTTTCCTTGCTGGATATGGCTCTGTGTCCAAATTTCATTATAGGCTGTCAATATTAAGCAGGAAACACTTTTGGATTGGAAAAAAGATTAACTGTTTGTGGAGTGCTTTTCCAAGGAGACAGGTGGGATTTGTACAGGATATTATTTTTTTTTTCAACCTAACTCAATTTTTATATTATGCTATTTGATGGGAAGAATTACCACATCCCAAGGGTGATAATTAGAAGACTAAGAACAGATTGGAATTTTCGTTCTGGAAGATCTTTATAAATTAATACAATCAATTTTTAAAGACTTTAATTTATTTCTTGGATCCAACTGCCTTTGACTAAAACCATATAGAACAATATTTGGCTTCAAAAGCCATAAATGTTTTGCCGCATTTTAAAATATTTACTCCCAAATCCAGATTAATTGTGGCGGGTGTTTCCCAGCACTTAATGGCTCTAGACCTTGGAGAGAGATCAAAATGTTGGTGCTAATGGCTGCACTATATTCCCTGGACTACCTTTTTTGCCCAGTGCACCTAACATATCTGCATCAATATAGCAATGGATATCTAAAAGACATGGCAGCAAGTGAGGCATGCATCCTCTTCATAGTCCCTGGCTTGCTGCACATTGAGCCACTGAACCATGCACTGTCAAGTGTATTCCAAAAGGACAAATGCATCGAATATGGTTCAGAAGCAGCAATGTGGGCTGTGTCATCAAGTAAAACTTATTTGTGTAGCTTTTTGATGTATTTTTCTTGAAGTGCTGTGAAGTTGATTTTGACTGTAGCCAAATGCACATCAGGCATTGTATTTGGGGGCCTAGGGAATTTGTGTTTAAGAACAGCAAAGAGATTGTACAAGATCAGGGGTAAATTATCTGCTGCACAGAACTCCACTTACCTACTGAGGATCAAAGTTATTTGCAGAAGAACATTATGAATGATGTCTGAAATGGCTAACTTATGTCTCCAGCCTCAAGCCAATGCTCATCATGATTTATTATGGATTCTCTAGTAAAAGGAGGGATGAAAGTTGTCATTGCTGTCTGTGCCACTTCTGCAAAAGAATAACTTAAAAAATGGGACTCCAAAATCTAACTAAAACAAAGTCTACTAAAACAAAAAAAACTTCATAAAACTGCAAGATATTTCCACAGATATTTCACAGTTTCAATGATGACCCTGGTATAGAGCTAATCCCTAATACAGTAAACCAATGGGTAGTTATTGATCACAACAGATAGACCCATTTAAGTTGTAGTTTGCTTACCAGAAGGAAAGTTAGGGCTGGCACAGTAAACATGGCTTGTGCATTACCACTGTGACTTCAAAATTAAAAAGTAGTCTGCCTGGAGCCATCAGCGGATCCAGAGGGACTGAAGCCAATATAAGTATATGGAGGAAAGTCAACTTAGGAGGACTGCATGTTCCGGGAAC